TTAATTTAATTAATTCATCTTTATTTGTTTTCCTTTTATTGGCCTTGTTACTGGCATTACTGGCGTTACTGGTGTCACTGGCATTGCTGCTGCTGCTGCTGCTGCTGCTGCTGCTGCTGCTGCTGCTGCTGCTGCTGCTGCTGCTATTTTCATGTTTTTGTGGTCTTTTTGCATTTATTACTGCCGTTATTACTGTTATTATTTATTATTTATTGTTTATTGTTTATTACTTATTGTCTATTATTTATTATTTATTATTTATTGCAAGGTTCCTGAGGGAATAGGGCTTTACAGCTGCAGCAGCGGGGGAAGCTGCTGCAGCAGCAGCGCAGCAGCAGCGCAGCAGCAGCAGCAGCTGCTGCTGCTGCGGCTGCCTGAAGGTTTCTTTCTTCGTGACTTCTTGTCGATTTGTTTTTCAATTTATTCTTTTTTCCATTCTTTTATTTTAGTCCCTCCCCGTTTCTATTCTTTAGCTTTTGCTGCTGCTGCTGCTGCTGCTGCTGCTGCTGCTGCTGCAACTGATGGCTTCAGAAGCAGCTGCTGCTGCTGCAGCAACTAGTGAATTTAGCAGCAGCAGCAGCTGCTGCTGCAGCAAATAATAAACGTAGCAGCTAGTTAGCGGCGCTGCTTGAAGCACAAGGGGTTCTAAATAAATAAATAAATAAATAAATAAATAATAAATAGATAAATAGATAAATAAATTTAAAAATAAATAATTCGATTTTTTATTTTCCATTTTAGTTTTTCGATTCATTGTGCTGTACGTACACCCGCGTGACCAGCTTCTTCTTTTTTGCATTTTCGCAAACCCTAAACCCTAAACCCTAAACCCTAAACCCTGATTTAATTTTAAGTTATTAAAGCCAAAATAAAAAGAAATAAAAGCAAAAGAACATTTTATTTCATAAAAAACAAAAAAGAAATAAAATCATGGGAAGATCTTTTCATCTTTTCAGATTTTCTTCGCCAATTTGAAAAGCCCCGAGAAAGCGGCCGACAGCGGCCGCCAGTTGCGCCGTGGAGTTCACTTTTTGGAACAAAAAGTACTAAAGAGGGGAAAAATAGGAAATAAATAGAAAACAAATTGAAAATAAATGAAAAATAAATGAAAAATGAACTAAAATTGAACTGAATTCCAGAAAATCTCCGCGAAAAGCCGGGAATCTAGAGATGTTGAACTGAGAGGGGGGCCCCCGCTTTGGGGCTTCCCCGCCCCACGGCGAAGTCTTCTGTTGAATTTCGGAAAAGTTTCCAAAAAGGTTTTCTTTTGTTTGAATTAATTTCAAATTCGTCTTTTTGTCAACTCCACGGGGGCCCGGGTTCGGGGTTTGGGCGCGAGAGGGAGCGGGGCGTCGAGTGAGGCTTTCTCGCTGAACAAGCAAGCCCCGAGCTCGTCTTTTTTTCCGAAATTAATCACTTTTCAATTCCCAAACTCTCTTTAAATTTTCAAGTTCCGACTCAGCAGTTTCCCCTTCGCTTTCCGCGTTTCCAGTTCCCGAAGATCGCCGCGGCCAGCGCGTTCAGGTGTACGTACACCTCGCCGCCCGCCGCAGATGACCCCGAGTTGAATCTTCACTTCACTTTTTTCTTTCCGGAATCTCCGCGGCCGCTGGACTTGTCGTTTCTTTTCGTTTCAAATCTTTTCTGGGGACTTATTTTCCACTTTTTGAAACAAACTTCTTCAAAAATCTTCCAATTTCTTTCTTTTCCTCGCAAAATGTACTTCCCCTCCTTCGGCGGATCTTCTGCAGTTCCTTCCGCGGCGCTGCCAAATGCAATTCCCAAAAAAGAAGAAGACGGAGAAAGCATTACAGGCAAATGTGAGGCGAAGGCATTTTGTTTTGGATTTATATTTTTTCTTTTTGTGCATTTCTTTTTATTTATTTATTTTTTATTTTCTTCTTTTTGTCTGCGTTTTCATTTCCTTTTATCCTTCTTTTTCCCTTTTTCTGCATCTTGTTTTACTCTATTCTTTCTTTTCTTCTTTCCGTCTGCATTTCATTTTATTTTATTCTTTCTTTTCTTCTTTCTGTCTGCATTTCATTTTATTTTATTCTTTCTTTTCTTTTTTGTCTTCTTTTCGAAATTCAATTTCCTTTTTTAAACGCAACTTCTCGGGCCCTCAATTCGCCTTTTATTTGCGCCTTTGTTTGCCTTTTCTAAAAACAAAAGAACCAAAAAACTGCACTTTCAACTTTTCCTATTTGCTGCTGCTGCTGCTGCTGCTGCTGCTTGTGCTGCTGCTGCTGCTGCTGCTGCTGCACAAGCTGTTTTGAATTTCAAGTGTTGCTGCTGCATGCAATTGTTCCTTTGAGCTCATTTACATTCAATTAATTTGAATTTGAATTAATTTGAATTTGAATTAATTTGAATTAATTTGAATTTGAATTTGAATTAATTTGAATTAATTTGAATTAATTTGAATTTGAATTAATTTGAATTAATTTAAATTTGAATTAATTTGAATTAATTTAAATTTGAATTAATTTGAATTAATTTGAATTTGAATTAATTTGAATTAATTTGAATTTGAATTAATTTGAATTAATTTAAATTCAAATTAATTTGAATTAATTTGAATTTGAATTATTTTGAATTAATTTGAATTTGAATTATTTGAATTAATTTGAATTTGAATTATTTGAATTTGAATTAATTTGAATTAATTTGAATTTAAATTATTTGAATTTGAATTAATTTGAATTAATTTGAATTTGAAATAACTCAAATAAAGATGAATTCAAATCAATTCAAATTCGAACTAACAAATCACCACAACTCCTTCAATCCAAATCCATTTAAATCCAAACCAATCACTCCAATCAAATTAATTTAATTAATTTAATTTAATTAATTTAATTTAATTTAATTTAATTAATTTAATTTAATTAATTAATTAATTAATTAATTTATTTATTTATTTATTTATTTATTTTGAATTTGTTTGAAGTCGATCCCTCTGCACTAGAAAGAGGGGCGAAGGCGCTGAAGGAGTTGGACAGCAGCCCAAACGCTGCGCGGGCTTTTGAAGTAATTAAACTTCAGGAACTTTCGAAGCAAAAGGAACTTCAGAAGCAAATTGAACAGGTATTTGCTGCTGCTGCTGCTGCTGCTGTTTGTGCTGCTGCTGCTGCTGTTCGTGCTGCTGCTGCTGCTGCAGCAAGAGCGGCGCTCGGGCTGCTGCTGCTTGTGCAGCTGCTGCTGCTGCAGCAAGAGCGGCGCTCGGGCTGCTGCTGCAGCGGCTGCAGCTGCAGGCCGTCTGCTGCAGCAGCAGCTGCAGCAGCAGCTGCAGCAGCAGCTGCAGCAGCAGCTGCAGCAGCAGAACTGGTGGGAGCGCAGCAGCCTTTTGTCTGCGTTTGCTGCTGCAGATCGCAGCAGCAAGAGCGCAGGCGCAAACGGAAAGAACGAAAACTGAAGGCGAAGAGCGCAGAAAGACAATTGACCATCAGCAAGAACAAGAAAGAGTCACGGCACAGTACAAGGCCAAACTCGAGGCGTCAGCTGCTGCTGCTGCTGCTGCTGCTGCTGCTGCTGCTGCTGCTGCTGCTGCTGCTAGTGTTGCTGCTGCTGGTGCTGCTGCTAGTGTTGCTGCTGCTGCTGCGTTGCTGCTGCTAGTGTTGCTGCTGCTGCGCTGCTGCTGCTGCTAGTGTTGCTGCTGCTGCTGGTGCTGATGCTGCTGCTGCTCTTGATGTTGATGTTGCTGCTGCTGTTGGTGATGGTGTTGCTGCTGCTGCTGCTGCTGCTGCTAGTGCCAGTGCTGCAAAACACTTCTCAGTCACTTGACGAAACATCCTTGAGTTGTTATTATTTATTAATTCACCATTTATTATTTATTTATTTATTTATTTATTTATTTATTTATTTATTTATTTATTTATTTTGGCTGCAGAGAAGCTTACCAGAAGAAGCTGCAGGACCAGCAGCGGCAAAACGAAGAATGGCTGCGGCAGCAGCACAAACAGTTTTTGCTGCAGGAGGAGCAGCGAAAGAAGACAGAAGCTGTAAACCCTAAACCCTAAAACAGCGTTTCACCCAAACCCTAAACCCTAAAACAGCGTTTCACCCAAACCCTAAACCCTAAAAGGCCGTTTTCCCCAAACCCTAAACCCGCAGAAGTCCTTCTCCCCAAACCCTAAACCCTCGAAAGTCCCCCCTTCGGTTTTAAACGCTGCTCCCCTTTGCTGCTGTTCCTGCTGCTGCTGCTGCTGCTGCTGTTCCTGCTGCTGCTGCTGCTGTTCCCGCTGCTGCTGCTGCTGCAGGAAATGCTGGAGATGCGGCGGCAGCAGCTGCGGGAAGAAAAAGCTCTGGAGGAAAAGTTGCAAAAAGAGAAAATTCGCGAAGAGGCAAAAGGCCGGATTTTGCAAGAAAGAGAAAACATTGATGTCCACCTCAGGTCTTCTTTCCTCATTCCCTTTTCTAGGGTTTAGGGTTTAGGGTTTAGGGTTTAGGGTTTAGGGTTTAGGGTTTGGGGTTTACGGCGCAGGGCAAAGACTTGCACTCCAGACTTGAGAATTCAGCGCTCGCCATTCAGTGTCTAGGCCTTCAGGGTTCAAAGGGCCAGGGTTTAGGGTTTAGGGTTTAGGGTTTAGGGTTTAGGGTTTAGGGTTTAGGGTTTAGGGTTTGTTGCAGAGCCATGCGGGCCCGCGCTGCTGAAGAGCGGAAAACAAAACTGGAAAGTTTGGAGAAGACTTTCGGCTCTTTGGGAGCTGCCTTTTCCGCCTTGTTGGCGGACAAGGCCAAGTTAACTGCTTTGGTTTGTTTTTTTTGTTTTTTAATTAGTTTTAAGTCCTTTTAAATGGTTGTAAATGCTTTTAAATGGTTTTATTTTTATTTATTTTAATTTGTTTTGTTTTATTTCATTTAATTGCGTTTATTTGGTTTCATTTGCTCTTTTTTTGGTTTAGTTTTGCTTATTTTCGATTTATTTCATTTTGCCTTTTCCGCACTGCTGGCGGACAAGGCCAAGTTGACTGCCTTGGTTTGTTTTTTTTGTTTTTTATTTATTTTGAAGTCCTTTTAAATGGTTTTAAATGCTTTTAAATGGTTTTATTTTTATTTATTTTAATTTATTTCAATTTGTTTTAATTTGTTTTGTTTTATTTCATTTATTTGCGTTTATTTGGTTTTGTTTGCTCTTTTTTTGGTTTAGTTTTGTTTGTTTTTGATTTTTTGCATTTTGCCGTTTCCGCACGCTGCTTTGGCCTGATTTTAAATCCTTTTAATTCCTTTTAATTCATTTTAAATCATTTTAATTTATTTTAATTTATTTTAAATCATTTTAATTTATTTTAATTCATTTTAATTAATTTTAAATCATTTTAAATCATTTTAATTCATTTTAATTCATCTAATTGAGTTAAAATGGGTTAAAATCTTTTATTGTTTTATTTATTTGCGTTTATTTGCACTCTTTATTTCATTTAATTTCTTTTAATTTCATTTAATTCCCAAAAGCCCTTTAGTGGACTGAAAATCCTTTCTCGAGGCAGGCTGCCGTTGGCGCCTCACCGCTAGGGTTTAGGGTTTAGGGTTTAGGGTTTAGGGTTTAGGGTTTAGGGTTTACGTACGATGCAGGTGGGAAGCGTGACGGCCCTCGCCGCGGGCATTTACGGGGCCAGAGCAGCAGCTTCGATTGCCGCCCGATATGTTGTAAGTTTAGGGTTTAGGGTTTAGGGTTTAGGGTTTTAGGGTTTAGGGTTTTAGGGTTTAGGGTTTAGGGTTTAGGGTTTAGGGTTTGTTGTTTTGTGGGGTTCTGTTTTTCAGGAAAGCAGGATCGGGAAGCCGCCACTTGTCCGCGAAACCTCCCGCTGGACCTTCTCCGTAAGAAAGGGTTTAGGGTTTAGGGTTTAGGGTTTAGGGTTTAGGGTTTAGGGTTTGGTCCATCACAAACCCTCTGAAACCGCAGCTAACCACCATTTGCCGAACTGGCCTTTAAATGCCTCAAATTAAATTAAATTAAATTAAATTAAATTAAATTAAATTAAATTAAATTAAATTGAAATTAAATCAAATTAAATCCAAATTAACTCAAACTAACTCAAATTAATTCCAATTAACTCCAATTAACTCCAATTAACTCCAATTAACTGAAACAAACCCAAATAAAGTGAATTAAATCCCAAAAAAGTGAAATAAGTCCAAAAAAAGTGAATTAAATCCAAAACTAAACCCCAAAAGAGCGAATTAAACCCCAACAAAGAGGAAAAGGGCCCCGGGTTGTGACGCTTCTCAGGGGGGGCCCCTCTCCTGGCTGCGGCAGTGGGGCCCCCGGGGGGCCCCCCAAAGCAAAGAAGAAATAGTTTTGGAAAAAGATTTATTTCAAAAGTTGGAGTTTTCGAAAAACTCACTTTTGACCACCAAAGCCCACAACAGCCACTTCCGCCATTTGCTGCTCCACGGGCCCCCAGGCACTGGCAAAACCCTCTTTGCCCGCACGTGAGCATTTATTTATTATTTATTATTTATTTATTATTTATTTATTTATTTATTTATTTATTTATTTATTTATTTACTTGTTTATTTATTATTTATTATTTATTATTTATTTGTTTATTGTTTGTTTGTTTGTTTTGGTTTTGCTGTTCTTTTGGCTGTTTTGCTGTTTGGGGTTTTCTTTGCGGCGCTTTTGGGGGGGCTGGGGCGCTTTGCCGCGGTGGAGGCGGTGGATGGCTGGCTAGCTAGCTAGCTAGCTAGCTAGCTAGCTGCTAGTTGGCTGGCTAGCTAGCTAGCTAGCTGCTAGTTGGCTAGCTAGCTAGCTGGCTAGGCGCTAGTTGGCCAGCGAGCTAGGTAGCTGCTAGTTGGCTAGCGAGCCAGCTAGCTGGCTAGCCAAGTATCCAGCTAGCCAGCTAGCTAGCCAGCTAGCCAGCTAGCTAGCTAGCCAAGCAGCCAGCACTTTACTAGTTGTCTCATTTTGTTTTATTTGCTTTGATGTCTTTCAGTCTAGAATGGATTTCTTTAGTCTCCGAAAATATTTCTTTTTCTGTTTGTTTCCATTGTCTTCTTTTGGCTCCATTTTGTTTATTTTAAATTCTTTTTTTCTCCTTTTTTGTCCTTTTGGATGCTTTTGAAGTCCCCTTTCTCGTGAAGGCCTTTTTAAATCTTGAAAAGATATTAAATTGGATTAAAAATGGATTAAATGGATTTTAAATTGCGGATTTTTCATTTGCTGCAGTTTGGCGCGGCAGTCCGGCATGGACTACGCAATTATGACTGGGGGCGACGTGGGGCCCCTGGGGCCCCTGGGGGCCTCCGAAATAAACAAATTATTTAATTGGGCTCAGAAGAGTAAAAAAGGATTAATTCTTTTTATTGATGAAGCTGACGCTTTCTTGCGGCAGGGGCGAGCAGCAGCAGCAGCAGCAGCAGCAGCAGCAGCAGCGCCTGCTGCTGCAGCAGCAGCAGCAGATATGAGCGAACACTCCCGAAACGCCATTTCCGCCTTTCTCCACCACACCGGAACAGAAACCAACAAGTTTTGTCTCATTCTCGCAACTAATTGCAAAGAAATCCTCGACAAAGTGAGCTTTGGCTCCCCTAAACCCTAAAAAGTGGTTTGCATTTAAACGAGGAGCAGTTCAAACCCTAAAAAGTGTTTTATGCGAAAAATGCGGAATTAAAAACCCTAAAAATTGCAAAGAAATCCTCGACAAAGTGAGCTTTGGCTCCCCTAAACCCTAAAAAGTGGTTTGCATTTAAACGAGGAGCAGTTCAAACCCTAAAAAGTGTTTTGTTCGAAAAATGCGGAATTAAAAACCCTAAAAATTGCAAAGAAATCCTCGACAAAGTGAGCTT